CTAAGAATAACTAAGAGCAGCTGTGGAACAGCTTGCAGACGCAGTGAGGGTAAAATGGCAGCACTATGTAAAGAATGACTCTACCATTCCGTGCACAGGCGTATTCAGTCGATGTAGAAATTAAGAATAAGAGTTCGGCCCAGCTAGACACACTGGTTGAACGTAAACAAACTGGCCGATACTAAACGTGGATGAACAAAGTACAAGTAGATTTGCCTTTTGAGAATAACTGAATGGTGCCTTACACCAAAAGCTTTTAAGCCAGGATACAACAGACATTACGAACCAAAGACTTTCATCTATCGAAACAGCTTAAGATGATTGTCTCAACGAGCACATGCACAATAAACTTTCGTTCACTAGTCAGGATACTTCGAATTTTTACCTTCTAACCTGCGCGCCCCAGAAGCAAATGCACGTCGAATAATTTATTCGGTGAAACAGAAACATTACTGTTGTAGAAATTAGTTGTTTTTTAAGAGTCCAAAATTACCTCTCATTCACCTTCCTAGTTTGCTGTATGAGCATTCGCGCTCGTGATGGGTTTTCTTGGTTTAGGAAATTCCCTGATTGTACTTTAGTTTAGTGTTCCATCCATTACTTTTATCATTGTTCGCATTCTGCTGCATCGACAATGATTTTAAATTCATGAGTGTTGTGAATATTTTTTACTATGAATAGCTTTCTTGTTTCTGGTAAGGATTGACTGTACATTTATGTTAACATGATTTTACGACCTACTTACCTACGGATTGATTTTGTTTCAGGGTCCATTCAACACGTTCCAGTTGCCACAACAAGACAAAGACTGCGACTGGACCTCGTTAAAATTTTCTCCCGATGGCAAAGTGATTATGATCGGTACAAATGGAACCGTTATTCGAATGATCGACGCCTTCCAAGGACATCTGATATATAATCTCGTAGTAAGATCTTTTCCTGTGATGGCTATAAAAATTAATTGAGTAATCGATTAATTTTTTTCAGTTTTCTTTCTTCATTGCTTAGTAGTATACGCTTTGATGCAAACGTTTCCTTTATTTCTCAATGACGGAGTGAGGATGATGGGGGTATTCATGGTACCTCTTTCGTTCAGATTAAGATGCAATAGAAATTGTTGTCATGAGATAGATCTGCTGTTTATGAAGCATTTTTGGCAGCCATTTTTCTTCTCTCAGTGCATAACGATGCACACAAATGTATCAAAATACCTAAAAAATATTTCCCCAGAATGTGAAGTGACGTTATAGACAAAATCTGTAATGTATTTAATTTAGGGTCATGTTAATGGAAAAGGTTTACCGTTGGAGTCTTCGTTTACTCCGGATTCGAATTATATCTTTTCTGGTAAAACTGTCTTGCGTTGATTTATTATTTTGTACATGCTTTTACCAATGTAGGTTCAACCGACAGCAAAGTGTACGTTTGGAGTGCTGAAAATGGCAGTCCGATCGCAACGTTAGAAGGGGAACACACGGGACCTGTTCAGTGTGTACAGTTCAATCCCAAGTACATGATGTTCGCATCGGCGTGTAGTCAGCTGGTATAACAGCACATTTTTGTATATTTCTTTGACCCATTTAATTCTCTTCAGGCATTCTGGATTCCGCAAGGAATAGACGATCTGTAGATGGATACAAGGCCAATAAAGCATCGAACATTTTGTTGTATTATGTTGTAATATACCTTTGTTTGAACTCCGCAGCTAGTTATGAAATTTGTCAACTGACTGATTGGATTGAACTCTATGGAAATCATCAATTACGGATGGTTTGCGTTAGAGCCGTTGTAGCGACCAATTGATGCCTCGGCGATAATGGCGTTGTACCGTTTCCTAAACGTTGCCCAGCTCTAGCAGTCTGTCTTTATGTATCGCTGGCGACATCGTTCTTTTCTCGCCTAATCCAACCTCCGCAGTAGCCATTTTGTGTCCTTTTAACAATGTGGCTACGAGATTCGATTTAGAACCTTCGTGGAAGAACGCAAAAATGTTGTGGCGGATGGTAAAAGCGTGTAAAGTGAGCGAATTCATTTACTTGGTCAGTATACAACGTTCTTATGGATATATAAATCAAACGCTATGCTGGATCGATATGACAACCTTGGTTTTAAGGTCACTGACGTACATCTGTCGGCATTTTCAGCTTAGCATGAAAATCAAGCTCTGCTTGCTTCAAACGCTTTTCCTGGCCTGCTAAAGGAGGCCTTCAGGCCTCAGTCGTTCTATGGGAAATGTTCGCATCAAGTGGACGGATTGCATTGTTGTTTTGTTATCGTCATCAAAAGTTGGCAGAGCTTAAACAGCAGAGTAACCCAGGTTTATTATGATAATCGCATTAGGTTGCATTACGAACACTGGAATGAATAGACGAACAGAAATGGAAGCTTGCCTCAGGGTAAGAACAGTGTCCTCTGACGGTTAAAAGTCTACGAGATCAAGCGTCAGCCCATAAATGATATATACGTCCAGATGCAGCGCGTGAAATTAAACCCTAGCGTCTGGGGGCGACTCCCTGACCGTTCAAGGAAGACATAATTACAGCAACTGTCGGCAAAGCTGCTCTGTGATTCAACGCCAGGTGGACGACAGCGGGATCCAGCTGAAAACTTTTACTGCTGCGAGCGCACTTTAGGCCGCAATTTGTCTAGGTAAACCGTTCGACGTTTCTACGATTCTTGGCGTTGTAAGGATTTGAATAATCCAATCAGCTAGGTTACTGTAGCATTTGGAACGAAACCTTGTCTTATACTTTTTGTTAGAGAACCACTTGTCGTTTGTCATGTGGAAAGCCTACGGTCGTAGAAATTCACTTTGTTTCGCCCATTGTCGGCTCTACACAGAAGTCAGTACCGCTAAATGGGGTTTGCTCGAACCACGTTTTGTCAAATAGATGTTGTTTCTGTGATTAAGTCTCTAGCATTCTGACGAATATCAGAAATTCTCAAGTTAGCGAATTACTCCATGTTTTCAGCTCTGACTGTCAAACATCAACAGCGGAACCACCCCTTTCCACGTTCTGCACATTCGTCTCCTTTTAAAGCATTTTCAGGGTCAGCCTCAGCTCACTATTTTTACTTTCAGCTGTTTATTAGAGGAATCATTGAAAATTTGAAGAATGGTCAGTCTAACTTTAGAGGTAGCTAGTAGTAGAGCGATGTCGTTTGCATAATCCAGATTCGTGCACGTAGAAGCGTCAAGACTAACATTCCAGCGTTACGACATGCTCATGGTCCAGTCGTTGACTAGTGCTGTGGCAAGCAGGTACCCCACTGTCTCATTCTCGATGATGCTGGGAACCATTTTGAGACAGCAGGTTTTAGTGTTCTTGAAGTCAGAGAGACAATCGTTTCAGAAGTCAGTGGCGGGCTTCAGGTCTCCATGCTCCAGTCTCTCGTTCGGCTGAATTACTTCTGTGAGAGTAGCCTTAACGCTAAGACTCTGTAGAAGGAATACTAAGGAGGAAGCATTCATGAGAGAAGTAGAATCACCTTCGCCAAAAGAGTGCTTCTATGCGACAGTTCACCTTGAAGTAAGAAATTAACGTTCATTTCACTGTCACTAGACTGTACAGGCTTTAATTCAGTCTTTCATCAGCCGCAAATACAGTGAGTTCACATCAAATACAAGTATCTGTTTAAGGATTCTACTCAACATGAAACAGTTTTTATTGTAAAGCAATGAGCAAAACACGATTTCATTAGCAAGTCAAAAATATTGAGTGTAAAGCAACAAACAAGCGTGAAGGCCGTCACTGATATTTCGATGTAACCAAGACGACAAACTGCCATGTTCTGCTTATCTTAAAAACAATTGGAAGTGAGGTAGCACAGTCAATGAAAAATACTTTACTAGGTAAGCAACTCAACATCGTCTTCAGAATTTGGAACGAAAGCAAACTTCAGGGGGATCACAAAAACACTGATATCATCGTCAGAAGCTGGCTTAGACTCGTCCAGTAGCCAGGTGATTCCATCCACAGACTGACCGCGCGCTGCCGCCACTAGTTCTTCAGCTATGAGGGTGTATCTTCAAAACAGAAGTAAATTGCAGCAGTGAAATTTGTACCGGACCCTACGTTGTCACATCATTTTCATCGTGCGCGTTTACGCCAGCGGTGATGATCTGCACCACGTTTTCGGTACTTAGTACATTCCATAAGCCATCTGATGCCAAGACAAGAACGTCTCGGTGCGATAGACAGTTTAGCTCACTGAAATCTACGACATTTACCTAAATATCGAGAACGATAAAATTAATTTCATTAAGACGAGGAAAACGCTATCAAGCGCCAAACTATATATAACACACAGAAAGCCAGCTGTTTTGTGTCATTAGTGCTTTACAGTACTTTTCGAGCAAACTGCTTCTTTAACACTTCGTTGAGATCCGAGGTCGACTATTATTTAATACTCTATTCGAACGATTAGCAAATAAACTGGGTTGCTCACGTCTTTTAATGGCTAAAGGTATAGCAAGTTGAGATGAACTTCTGCATTCGCTGTAAAATCGAGTCTAGCATTTAATGAGTAGACGAGAGATTTAGTTTCCCTTGAAATTTGATCTCCCTGCTGTTTCTATAATTTGTAGTAGCAAAAAAGTTTTTAGCTACTAACCTCTGGCAGGGCACTGAGAAAATTCTTGATCTGGATGCCATTTTTTGCGGTCACAAGATGGTGGTCTCCAAAACCACGGGTTACCGCAATTGTATTAAACAGACGGCACTAAAATCACACCTGAAAATACAAAAGACACATGACAAATACCTTCTGATTATAGAATCCAATCATTGATGGTAGAAGATCTGTCGGCTGCACGGTCTTCACAGCCCTAGTAAAAATTTGACCGTACAAAAAACAGTAGCAAAAAAGGAACACAAAATAAGCCTCCTTACCCTCCCCCCGCCTACTCGGAAAACACTACGTACGACACTGGTCACTACTTACATATACAAAAAGCCCTAACATGAACAACATTACAGCGATGCATACCATCCGTCCATATACCAGTCTTGATAGAACACCTTTGAGTTCAGGTCCGCATCAGTCAAAGTCCTGCTGTAAATCAGGCGACTAAACTGCTTGCGAAGCAGATTTGGATGTCGATATGCCTTTAACACGAAAATCATAGCGAAAGGCGGTAAAACTTTAAGTAAGCCTACTTAAATAGAAGGGATTCATTGTGACTCTCTGCAGAGAAGCAATGCAAATCTGATGGACATTATATCAGTATAATGACTGAATAATACAACTGCACTGTTAATCTTTGACAAGTATTGATGGAGATCTTGAGAGCCAAAACAGAAGCGATACTACATGGTACGGAATCCACATGAAAAACCTTGATAAATAGATTGATTTGCTTTGCAATTGAGAAGTGTTGGGTTATAATCCCAGAGCGAGGTAAAATTTTACTATTAACTGCTAGCTTCTTTAAGCAAGGAATTCATCTCTCAGTGCTTCAGTGAAACCGGCCGAGAACCAGATATTAATTCACTGACCTGCAAACAGTAGGGCGCACGACTTATGGAGATATTTGAGGCCACGATTTCCCTAAATCTATCTACAAGATGACTAAACGCCAGCACATGATAAACAATAAAAAATAACAGGGGAAGATCGACTGACAAACAACTGTAAACAACAACAAATGTAACAAGTGTAAAGTTGCTAGGAATGAATAACGGTGAGACTACCGCGGCAAATTATCATAATCTGCAACGCATCGAACTGCTACAGCGTAGCACAGTCCCTTGATTCTTGTGGCCTTGGGCATCGCTTAAGCAGTGCACTGGCACAAAATATACTACTTTTTTGAATCGAACAAATACATGTTGAAACCAACAGATATATCTCAGTTCACAAATCGCATCAAGGATAGAAATTTAGCTATAATTAATCATGCTATATAAATATGTAACTAACATATATGAATAATAACCCAGCATGGCAATATGAAACAACGAGTAGAACAAACGCGAGACCTGTGAAGTACAGATCAGTTTCTCGAATGATCTTTGAAAGACAGTATGATTAAACTGAAATAATGAAAGAAACTTACGATGCTTTGAAGTCTCTTGCGTTCGTACAGCGGAGTAAAAACAGTGCTCAGCTGCCTGGTGCACTTTTCAGAACACAGCAGAGCCCTTTGGAAATGTTACAGGTATAAACAACGGAGAACAAATTAAAGATGATAATTACCTGCAATCGCCTGCTGTTGCCACGTAAAGTTTTCCAGCAAGAAACAGTGCCACCACAGCCGTACAGCCACCAGCAATTGGTAGCAACGCTTTCTCATCTTCGATTTGGTTGTCCTACACAATAACATAACATTACTACCGTAACAATAATAACAAGTAGTTAGATGGCTGAACAGTATGGTGCTTTTCGCAATGCCACATACTACATACATTGCTAATCAATTACATGGCTAATCATATCAAATGCAGGGAACATTTACGCATATCTCCTATCAGAAATAAGGTTCATGGTGCATGTGCAAGTGTTCAGTGGAAAATCTGTTTGACTTACGGCTGCTGGCCTACAGGTGCACTGAGCAGGTTCCATGAAATCAATGACGAATCACACTTATGAATTCTTATCCATAGGTGAACAACAATCCGCAAGACGACCTATGAACCATAAAAGAACTTTGGTATCGAAACCATGCGGTGCAACAGTAATCGGAGTACAGGCAGATCGACTATCGTCCTCGCGAGACCGCGTTAATAGCTGTCGAACAAAAAAAGGCAGTATGAGTCATATAGATAATTGATTTCAGATGTAACCAGTGATTAAAATGACTCTGGACTAAGGACTGCTAAAAGAAGGAGAAATGAGCGATGAAAAGACTAAGAAGTAAATTTAAAGTGATAATGCCATTAATTGAAACTCAGAAGCGGCAAATAACTTCCTAAACTCACAAAGACATCGTTCAGTGGATAACTGGAAGCGGATGGCTCAACTTTATGAATTCTCGGATAATAACCGATGTCAATATGTTCTGAAGGTACTTTCGATACACCGTAGATGGCTTTAAGAGAATAGGCCGTTCGAGTATATGGCTGACAGAATGAAAAACAAGAAAAGTTTTTTATATTCATACCTGGATTACCGAAGTCAATTAAGTCAAGTCGTCATTTGTAGTAAATGAATTTTTAAATATAAAACATACATATTTCTTGTCTTTCGTGCCACCAACCATGGCATCAGAAGAGGAATTCGCTTTCAGGGATGTCAAAGATGATTTCGTGTATGTAATCATATACAGAGTAATAATTCTCGCTGCGAGCAGCCAACAACATAAAGATCTAAGACCTCGAATGGACCTGCTTCAATAAGCGTAGACCTGCGAAAAAAGGATCGTAAATTATTTCTAACGAAATCAGTACGTAAAAAGCGTCACTTTGTAAAATTATGCTTCTTTTATTCAGAACGAAGTTAAACGCTGAAACTCAGGGCCATAACAGAAAAGTACGTAGCAGTAAGAGATCTCTCATCACACTGCAAAACCAGGGTAGGTCCGAATGGTGATAATATTTTGTTCTGGTTAAGATTATAACCTGAATATATTATACATTGCAACCGCTTTTAGAATAGAGTGCATGAAATAGATCCTTAGAAATTTACCATTTAAAAATATGAACAGCAGTCAAGGATTTACTGAGAACTCTACATGACAGTTTGCTACCCAGCAAAAAGCTGATTTCTCTCCATTTCATTAATAACCGGAACTAGCAGAAGCTGCGTAAATATGTTAAAAGTAAATACTTTCAAACAGCAATGCAGCTATTAAAGATTAAAGATTTGTATTCACGTGCATTATTCCTTACATCTAAGCAGACGCTATTATTTTGTCAAGACTGCTGATCTGTGAGTCTAAAGCAATAAGAAAGTCACTGAGGCATTCGAAATAATGACTTAGCCCTAGCTGTTGCTCAGTCAACAATTGTATGGTATGCAAATGGGAAATAACATCCTGAAACCCACTTCATCCTCTTCAAGACAGTCTTGACCCGTGACTGTAAGGCAGCACAACCATTAGATCAAATTTGTTAATGTTGCTTCTCGGAAGGAACTCCACAAAACGTCATTCTTACCAGCTTCAGCACGCGTTTTCAGAGACTGCAATGCAGTGAAACAGTACTGTTCAACAATGCTCAATGTAGTATAATCTATTTTTCCACGGCTGTGATAACCATGCTGGTCGTCGTTCCAGTTTTTAGTTCTTTTTATTCTAATTTTTAACATTTTATTATGCTGAAAATATTATTCTTGTGTGATGGTATTCAAGCAATAAAACTTGATACTTTACAATGAAACTGACCTAAAATATGGCAAACTCTATTTTACCATGTCCACAAAAGCGTTCTCCAAAGCTCCGATGACCACTCCATCCAAGCTCAATGATGCACCGGTGTTCGTTGTTTTCAGTTGGTCCATTTCACGACCATTCGCCCCATTGCACATCTCCAAAATGTCTAGTACTTGGCTGAGACGGTTCTATGAAGAAAAAAATTTAAAAATCGGCAAAAACATTCATGGCAACCTACTCGTATATGTTCATGTAAACAATTGGCGCACATTAGACTTGCGCCTGTCCCCACATGTCCGTCAAAAATAGCAAAATATACCGTCTCTAAGCGAAATTCGTCTTTATCGCAGTTCTAAATGTAGAAATGGCATATTTTTAAATGATAATTTCAAATAAAGTTCAACCTATAATTTGTAATGAAATAACTATAACAAATTACGTCTTTCATTACCGAAGAATTACGCGGTTCCGACAGCAGTTGCTCGTCCGCCATAAATGACTGCTTCGTTGAAAAACGTGTTGTCAGGTTTGTCTCATTCTTGCCATGAGCAGAGGCATTTTCGGTGTTTTTCATAAAAGTGAGGAATTTAGCTACGGCCTGGTCTTCATTTAGACTCGTTTTTCCGGCGTTCACCGTTTCAGCATAGCCAGCAAACATCGGCATCTTCGCAGGGTCTTTTGGAACGATAACCGGTCGGGCTTTCTGGTCACGGGAAACGCGCAGCTCGTCCTCTGAACATAAGAACAGAAATTCAGGTCTCGAGTATGGATATGGACATCGACTTCTGGCACCTACCGAAAAACAAAAGAATCAAGGATCAAGTTATTGATTCCGTTAATAAACTAGAAAGCAAAACCTTATTGGCACCTGAAACGGTCTTAAATGGGCAAAAGAGAAATTTATTCACAGCGGCAAAAAAAAGGTTTGCTATCATCACACTCTAGGATTTCAATACAATATGATGCACAATATAACAGTAAAAGATAAAGCTAAACATCAGGAACGTAAAGACTATAAGCTTGATATAATAATGTTTTTGAGATCTTCTTCATCTTCCATCGCCGCTTCTCTTTTCGGGTCGCGGAGGCAGACACGTCAGACAGAGCTTCCAACGTTCCCGATCCTGTGCCAGAGACTGAGCTTCGGCAAAAGACAACTGGAGTCTGGAACAGACTCCTTCCATATATTTCCACCAGGTTAATCTTGGCCCTCTCCTGGGCCTTTTGCAGGTTAGATTTCCAAAAAATAGTTGTTTAGGCTTCCTTTCTGGAGGATGTTTGTAAGATTCCTACACAAAAATAATAGCATCGACACGCAGTAAACCTCAGTGCGCGATGGAATGGAGCTTACTTGCTTTTGATGACTTAACGCAAAGAGAGTCCTCTTTTGAGCTTCATGTGTAAGTGCTGGCTTTCGTCCATCAATAATGAGTTACAAACTCGCTGCGCTTCATAGACTATAGAAGACTCTACATGGTCAAGGATTTCTTAGAGGTCGACCTTACTGAGACTAGAAATAAGCTCGACGGAATGAAACATAGAATATGCAAATTCTTTCGTTGCAGACCAACCAAAACTACTGGATCGATATAGGTAATCATCGGTACTAAGCAACAAAGGCAAAAAATAGAAACTTTCGCTAGAAGGTGGTATCAAGCATTCCAGTAGTGTCATCAAGTAGAAGGGTCCTTTGCGCATTTTGGTGAACACAGAATTCGCCTGGTCAGACCGGTCAAGACGGTCGTTTAAGTGAACCACTAGGCAGTTAACACATGAGCGTTTAGGATCAGTTTGTGCTCAATAATCGCCGTTCAGCTGATAAGAACAAATTACCAGACCTGGTGCCCTTCATAACATAGTTCATTTCAAATCTTTTGCTGCTGCTGATTTTCAGACCATTCAGCTGTCTCTACTGCTCAGTTTCCGTGGCGGCACTTTGTAGCTTAGAGGAATTTGAGAAATCTACACCATGAATCTAAGTAATTTTTTACCATTCAGTAAATCAGATGTTTATTAACTTGTGCAATAGAGACCATTTTCAAGTACATCGAACCTGCATGCATACAAAGAAACTCTAGTGAAGAATAAATGTAAAATTATATAAAAGGAGTGCCTTCTGTCCTCTAGAGTCTCTCAGATTCGGAAAAGTTATGGCTATTCGAGCTTCGCCAGAAGCTGATGCAGGCCTGATTACGACACAGCACAAAATGTAATGCCTGAGTTTTTGGACAAGTTT